AACAAGATGAAATAATAGATCTTAATTAAGATCTATTATACAAGAGAGATTCCTTAGAATTTTCTTAAACTATAATCTACTAAAATATGAGTTGAGAACTAAACTCATAAAACTCAAACTGAACTAAATATCTAACTGACTAATTAACTATCTGACTGTCTATTTAAATTCACTAGTTAAGATATATCACTTTTATATATTTTAGAGATTATATGAATGATACTTTTGTTATGATACTTATGTCAATTTTGCTATGATCTAAATATTACTTTAGTTAGTATCATAATGTTAGTTTTATTATGATAGCATTATTAATTTTACTATGATAGTTTTGCTAACTTTGCTATGATAATTTTGTCATGATCATCATGTTTACAAAATCTTCTAAAAATATCTATAAATAATATTCTCTAAAGCTAATGTCTAATAAAATATAAAGAATTATTCATCTAATCATATTATAATATGAAGTAACCAATAATATAATTAACTAATATTCTACTAAAAATTCATATTACAATAATATGCATAATTATTATAAATCTTTTAATAAAGTAAGTAAAGATGCCAAGACATTATTATCTAGTTAAGTAATAATTTCTGAAGAAGAAAAATTGCTACATTCAGCTAGTCATTCATCTCAGGTAAGTATTTCTTACAATAAGTATGAGAAAAAATTCAAATAAAAAATTATTATTCTAATATCTAGATCATATAAAAAGTTTTTGTATCATATGAATTATATTTATCAAAATGGATTCTGGTCATTTAATTTATATATCTGAGGTAAGATACATATTTGATAATCATTTTTGTATTGCATGACAGACCATTATTGAAATTTGAAATATAAGATTGTATATAATCAGTATCTGATCAAAGTATAATTATTAATGTTATAAAAATATACTTTGGATAAATATCAAATAGGTATGATTTTGACATATAATTCAAAGAAAATCAGTATCTAGTCAAGGTATAATTATTATAAAAAGGGTAGTTATACTTTGGATAGATACAAAAAGTATACATAATTCAAAGAAAAATCAGTATCTGATCAAAGTATAATTATTATAAAAAGAGTGATTAAGTATAAAGTATACTATTTTGACTATATAATTTGAAGAAAAATTGGTGTCTATCCAAGATAAAATTATTACAAATATATATATTATAAAAAATTATACTTTGGATAGATATAAAATAAATAATAATAATTTGGTACTATGTATCATCAGATATTTTGGTGTATTACCAGATATAATAATAATTCAATATTATGTATTTTATTATTAGATGCTTTGGTATAATATCAGATATATTAATAATTTGATACTACATATCTTATTATCAGATACTTTAGTATAATACTAGATATGTTAACAATTTGGTACTATATATCTTATCATCAGATATTTTGATATATTATCAGATATATTAATAATTCAACACTACATGTCTCATCATCAGATACTTTGATATATTATCAAATATATTAATAATTTAATATTATATATCTTATTCTTAGATAATATTCAAATAAATTATATGAAGTTAATAATTATTAATAATTTAGTACTACATGCTTCATTATCAGATACTTTAGTGGATTACCAAATAGGAATAATAATTTAGCAATTAAAATCAATATACTTTAATATAATATATTTGATAATATAATCAGATATCATGTATATAGTATATCCCAATTGCATTAATTTTTTTATTAAAAATTCTATGTGATATATAAATGATAATAATGCAAGAATACAAGAGCATGCTAACTCAAACTATTGATAAAATTATAATGCAAAAGATTAAGAAGGCAGACTGTAACTTTAAACCAGATCAAGCTATCAATAAATTCTTAATATAGAAGATTGAAAAGGATTTTAAAGCTTATATAGAAAAGCTAGATGAAGAATATGATTCTAAGTCAAATTTTAATTTTATATCTATTTGCAAATTGTGATAACGTAAATATAAAATCATCATTATATTTTTTATAGATCGTGAGGTATCTAAATATGACGATATGAACATAAATTTGTCATCATATTTTTTACAGATCATGAGTATCTAAGTATGACAATGAACTCATAAACTAATTATCACTTAAATGATGACATATACATGATCTAATCATCAATGAAGATGGTTATAATCCAAATTAAGTGGTATAATTATAATCTGTACAGAGTATAATTATACCACTAGATTAATTAATATAAATTACTTATTCATCTGATTTAATAATGATTAGTAATTATTATATCATATATTGCGCTGCATCTACTATACCACATGAATAGGTAATTGGTCACAATATAAATATTATCTATTTTTTTAAGATAAGTATTTTAAATAAAGCTTTTTGACTTTACAAATATTAATTTTATTATTAGTCTAAATCTTATCAAATTTTATATAAAGACTAAATTAATATATATGATATATATATTTAGATGAATATTTCTATTCATGATTTTAATATACTTGATATAATTAATTCAATTTATTATAAATATATAAAAAAATATTAATTCAATAATAATTATATTATGCTGAAAAAAATAAAAATTCTTTTATTATTATTGAAGATTTTTTTAATTTTCTAATTAATATTAAAAATAAAAAGAAAGTTATTTAGTATTTAATAAATTATTTTTAATTAAAAAGTTCTTTATAATTAAAGAATACTTGAATATTGATCTTATATTATAAATAAAAGATAAATTAAATAATAAGATAATAGTTACTTTGATTCAAGTAAAAGAAGTAATTGAAAAAAATATAATAATAATTATCAAATCTATAATAAAGTTATAAAATTAATTGATAAACTAACAAGTTTTTTAATACATGAAGAAAGTTATATACAGATAAGTGAAAATATTTCTGCAATTAAAAAATATTAAAAGAATATTATATAAATTGATTATTAATATCAAAGTTCAAATAAATATTATAAGTTATTTTTAATTAATTATCTAATACTTAGAAATTTTATTTTGCAAATATTATATTATTTTACAAATAAATTTGGTTTTTTTTTTGATAATAATTAATATTTAACACTATCAAAACTGTTTAGTTTGCATAAATGTATATTAATATGTGAAAAACTATTAATATCATATATTAAAATGCGTTATACTCTCTTTATCACGCATACTATCAAAATTCTATCCTATTAATCTGAAGAGTTATAATCTGATCATATGATCTTTAATTTATATAGCTACCTTACCAATTTAAAGACCCTGCTAAGCTGAAGAAATATCATTCTATAGAAGATTACTAAACTTGAAAATGACAAATATATATATAGAATTGCCTGTATATGAAAAAATTACAATTATAATGATATATTTCTTGAAGATAAACTGTAATTGTAATTACTCAAAAAAGATTCTGAAAGAAACGTTTGTCAAGTTATGTAAAATATTTTCAAGTTCTTTCTAAGTTAATTTTTTAAAAAAAAAGGTAAATTAATAAGAAAATATTTTATTATTGAGATTATAATACTTCTCTTTGTTAAAAACATATCTTAATATATTAGAGATCAATCATTTATTTGAAATATATTTGTCAAGAAATAATTTAATATTATATATTTATAATAAAATAAAAAGAGTATGTACATTATATGGCAGATTAAAAATATTATCGATATGTAGTTTGATTAAGATTGTAAATATATATATATTACTGATATCTAGGCGAATGAATGTATGAAAATCAAGTCATTTCCAATGGATTCCTTTTGAAAAATTTACCAATTTAAACGATCTAATGAAGATAAACACGAAGTTGCAAAGCAAATTATAAAAGAGGTAGAAATTGTACAATTTTTAATGTGTAAACAAGACTTTTTTAATATAATTAAACAATTCAACAATAGGTTCGAACTACTCTAAAGTATCAATTCATTACGACGAAATGGACATTCGCAAATATATCAACAAATTAACTTGGAACGATATTTACAGTATATTATTTATGCTCTAGAAGAAATTCACGAAAAGGAACTTGCGGATCGCGACTTTCACACTGGAGGTATATTATTACACGTTGATGCTCTTATTGCCTACGACCCAACAGATATAAAAAATCAAGAATACTAAGTGGAAAGCCATACACTAAAGCTGCTGATATCTTTAATATCACATGAATGTATGACTCAGGTTTGTTTCTTTTACAGTTCCACCATAGATTACGACACCATGGGGAATTGTTGAGACAACGCTGATAATATGCGGGAAACGAATTGCGGAATCTCCGTTAATGTTGATTTTTAGAGTGAGGAGCAGTAATAACGAAACAAAAAAATTTTGTTCATACCAAATTTCCATCATTGCAATCCCTCATCGAAACGTTGTAATTCGGTTCTCAGGCAGAATATGTTTTCATTTTTTCGTAGGTCCACAAGCTGAATGGCTGTTGCGCCGTTAAAAGCAAATTGTAGATGTTAATCGAACACTATTGTGAAACGCAACCGTCAAAAGTCTCGTCCTTAAACTATCTTGCCTCAGATTACCGTTAATAACTTTTTTTCGTCTCGATTAAAGATGGCATGGATTTGTCTTCGATATTTTGAATCATAATTCCTCCTGTTTCAGACTTGAATTCAGGTGTATTATTTAGTGTTCACTCGCCTAGATAGTCGTCGTGAACAAAAGTATGTTAAACGGTCAGAATGCGATTGTTCATTTACAACATGACCAGATTTAGGGTTTTTTATTCCCCAATAAAGGCTATAAAATAATGTCGAGATTTGCAAATGTATTACATAAAATAGGTTCATATTACTCATATTTTGATTATGCATAGAATATTCATTGAAATTCAATATAGCCCCTTATTCCCTTATTGGTGCGACGCGACGCGAAAATCTGGCAATAAATGATTTTGTATATAAAAAGTAGAAACTCACTTGAGAATATAACTTTCTTCATAGCACAGCACTCTATATGATTTTCTATTCTTTCACAATAAAAATGAAAAAACCTCATAATTCAGTGATAATTCGTGCTATTTTCTTTCTTTCGCTCGTTACCCTTCTCTTCTATGTAACTTTTGTGACTTCCAAAGCCCCTGATACAGAAAAAAACGCCTCTGGTTGTCCGATAGAAAAATGCCCTTACTACGCAAAAATTAAAGCTGGCGAAGTGTCTGACACCGATTGGTCCATTTCGAAATGTCCATTGGCCAGTAAATGCCCTTACTATGAAGAACTAAAGAAACGCGCGTTAGCCAATGGTGGTAATCTTGACCTTTCAAGTGATGATAGCGGTTGTCCATATGTAAAAAAGTGTCCACATTTTAAAGATAAAGATGGTAAGGTTGATTGCGGTGAAGATTGCTTAAAAGAGTACTATAAGGCGCATGGACATGGTGAAGGAAAAGGTGATTTATCGAAATGTCCATATTTGAGTAAAGCAGGAGCAGATGGTCAAGGAAGTAAATGTCCATATTTGGAAAAATTGAAGGAGGCAGAGTCAAAGGAGAAGACAGGGAAAGAGAGTAGTGATAGAGAAGAATTATAAATAGATTTCTTTTTTTTTTTTTTAAAGTAAATTCTAAATTAAATATTCAAGATGATATTTTTGTCTCGCGTATACTATTCTCTTTTTGTGATTGGTCAGAAAATATTAGTCACTTGACATATGACATTACATTAAAATCGCGCGTTTTCACCCGTTGACAGATCAATATATCAAGTTGTGTCTTATTTGAAATGTCATTCACTTCAGTAAACACGAGCTTATTTCCTAGCGTGACATACACGCTACCTTCCAAACAACTAGCAAACTTGCTTCCACAAAAAACAAATAATGAAAGTAAAGAGTGGACGCAGGCGCAAAAGGAGGTTGAAGATAGGGTTAGGAGCGCTATCCAACGTGTTAATTATTATCAATGGCAAAATCAAAAACTTGAATTGGTAGCTGGTAAAAGTGGTGTAACCCACAATAGTGCGAGTGTGACTACTACAGCTGTCGATACAGCTACGACTGCTACGCGACGTGATAAAATTTCTATAAAGCGACATACTAGGCGAACACCAGGCACTTGTGCTTGTTTCTTACTTTCATTACGTGTATTAGTGGTATATATTGACAATTTTTGTTCATTCTTCTCAAAATTTAGCGAGTCCAAGGTATTTTCAGCTTTGTATTCCGAGTGGGTTTATTTAAAACTGCAATTGATATCAATTATTCATTCACTCAATAAAAATTTACAGTGGGATTACAAAAAAGAAAAAACAAAAAAGAGAATGGGAGGAAGAGGAAGAGGAGGAGGAGGACTTTGAAGAAGAAAGAACTATTGAAGTGGTGGAAGACGTGGATAGCGACTGGGAGGAAACTTTAAGGGCGCGAAAATCGGCCACTAAAAAAAAGTCAAAACAAAAGTCTGCAAGTATTGATATTATACCCATTAAAATGTGTCATTTTGATCGTAGACATATAATCATTAGCGTTTTATTAGAAGGAGAAGACTTTCACGAAGAATACTAAGAAAAAAAGACGACGAAACACGGATAAATATGACGATAAAAATGTGTCCAAAATTAAACCAAAAGATCAAATATCTTACAACACATTCATGAGCATGATTGATAATCATGCAAGGCCATTCCAAGAAGAGAATCATCAATTCTTAGTAAATAAAATCGTAAGCATCGAGTTAGTGTCTGACTGTTTATTGATATATCAACTATTAAATTAATGTTTTTTGATCGTTAGGCTGAGGCAGAAGATCCAAAGGCATATGAAATTCCACCACTAGGAAAACATTGGGAAAATGCACAAGAAGGTGATCAAGCATGTCCATCAGAAGATGTAGTTGATTTAGAAGACTTAGGCTTGGATAATATTTCGCATGGACCTTTGACTAATCGGTTATTTAGTGCTCTCATGACGGAAGCTACAGATTTTGACATCTCGAAACTCGGAAATTGCAAAGACAAAGAATTCAATGAAAATCAAGGAGAAAGTGAACGTATCATTCCATCAAATCAAAATATTCTTGATGAGAGACTCAAATTAGAACTTCAATATGTTGGATTATTGGATAAAGATGAGGATCTTAGTTTGCTGGTAACAACAATTTTATCGTCTTGATTACAGTCAACTCTTTTTATATAACGAACCCCTTTATAATGAACTCTTGATATAACGAACTTAATATTTTTAAATTTCATTATTAGTTCGTTATAGAAAGAGTGGGCACTATAGAAAATATAGTAACTTTATATAACGAACTCTTTTTTTTAACGGATCCATCAGTTCGTTATATAAAGAGTTGACTATATACCATTTTTGTTTAATACACTTTAACACCCTATTTTTGTTCAATTAGAATGAAGTATCATCGTTTTCTTCAACAACTCAAAATGAAAAAGGTGACGAAGTCAAAGATCGGCTTATTGAATTACAAGAATCCTTGAAAGTACAAAGCAAAATCAATGTCAATCGAATTTCTAAGATTATGCCAAAATTACAGAGACATATCGCGTATAATCAATTCACTGCTTTCATAGATCAACTAGATAAGCAAATTGAAGAAGGTTACGCTGCGCGCTATGTAAATAGACTTGCCTTCTCTGGTCTGTTTTACAGATTAATTATCATGATTCATATTTACGCACTTGATAATTTTATAGAATCTTACAAAAACTACAAAAAAGAAAAAACCAATCAACTCTCAAAATCTCGAATCTAATATTACACGTCGTCAAAAATACATGGGACAAATCGGTCGACTATTTAAACCTGAGGAATTTATGGTACCAAACAAATCAATCTTTGATGATGATGAAACGCTTTTATCATCTTGAGACAAAAAATTAATAGATTGATGAGCACACAGTCATTGGGAGATCATATGCACCATACATGTATTGGGTTAAATAGGGATGCCCAAGAATACTACATTTCTTTTTTATATTTTTATTTACACATTAATTAAAAGCTATAGATAATTAAAAAATTAAGCTATATAGTCAATAAATGAAAAAGATCAAACACTGAATGCATTAATCTAAAAATAAATTGTCCAATACTTCATTAAATGCTAAACAAGGCTTAGTCTTCATCTTCCACCGCCATTTCATTAAGATTGCCTCCTTCAAGAAGAGGTGGAGGATGATTAGCAATCGCCTTATAACCTTCCAAATCTGCATCTTTTGTGATTAATATTTGCGGTTGTATAGGCAACAGCGCAAGGTATGCGATGAATACAAAATAAACGATAGCCCAGAAATAGCCAAGTATTTTGTTGTCGAGATCTTCGAGATACACGACAAATAGATACATGTTGAAACACATTATAATGATTGCTAGACACCAAGTAACGAATTTCCAAAAGCGACGATTACTGAATGTGGAACCCATAATCAAATTTGAACTGGTCAGTTTAAGGATTGGTAATAGAGCTGTGGGAAGACAAAGGCTTTGGAGAACATTAAGGAGTTCACCCATGACATCAAAATGATCCACCTTGAAGATTCATTTTTAGATAACATGTATCAATAAAATAGTAAGTTCATTCAAATATCATACATAATTCAATGTAATGTTAACTTACCGCAAAGATTGCCACCAACATAGACGGTATTAAAGCAATTGAACGTGTTATAGCAACACGATGCCATGTTTTTTTGAAAATTTTCCCAAAGAATCCTTCCATCACATATTGGCCTGCCAATGTTCCTGTCATAGTGGAGCTTTGTCCAGCGGCCAATAGACCCAAAGCCCAAAGATACTTTGCTCCATTTCCCAAAGTCTTGTATAATACATCCGCTGCGTCGAAAAGTCCAGGCATACTTTTTACTTCTTCAGGAACGAAAAATACCGAAGCAAATACTACGACGATAGCCAAGTTAATCAGGTAAGAGCAAAACAAGGCAAAAGCGCTCTCAATACCAAAATAGAAATTAGCTTCTTTGAGTTTATCCGTCGAAACAGGCTCCCTTTTACGCGTCATTACTGAAAATATATTTCACAATTAATTGATAACAAATGAGATGAAGGGCATTATTTATTCGTATATATTTACCCAAAGCTGAATGAAGATATAGATTATGAGGCATAATCACTGAGATATTCAAATGAAAAATGAAAATAAATAATTATTATATAAAATTAAGAAGTCATAAATATAACCATGTAATGTTCGTACCAGCACCGATTAACGCGACCGCCTGAACAACAGCGTTACTTGGAACCAATGGTATTAATATTCCTTTACCAATTTCTACAGGATCTGGATGACTCAGAAACATTTCTATCCAAAAACATCCGGCCATCGTAGCAATCAAAGCCATAAAAAATGCCTCGAGTTTTCTCACACCATAATTCTGGAGAAACATAAAAGTAAATGTGTCCATGGTAGTTAACAAAGTTCCCACCCATAAAGGTAAATTGAAAAGAATTTTCAACGCTATAGCTGTTCCGATAATTTCTTGGATATCTGAACCAATGATGGCAAGCTCCGTGATTATGTAAAGTGCTAACGCCACTGGACGTGGGTAATGATTCCGAATCAATTGTGCGAGATGCTGGCCTGTGACCACACCTGCCCTAGACGACAAGCATTGAATCAAAAGACCGGCAATATGTGCGTAGAGCAGTAGCCACAACTATAATATGAGTGATCGCGTGTCATTAGTTTCATATATTTCATAGAATGTAGAATTATATTGCGAGATCTCAAAGCTAGGCAAATTAAAGAGCTGAGCATATCGAGGAAACTGATTTCTTTTTGATATCAAGCAAATGAACTGATAAAGATTATTACTATTACATACCAATGCATAACCAGCAGTCGCTCCTGTTTGAAGATCTGCCTCCAAATTTCCTGGATCTACATACGCTATGCTCATCAAAAATCCTAAAATAACAGAATTTACGAATCGAATGATAAAATTTTGGAAAATATTTTATTATAATTGTTTACGTAATGATATAATTGATAAAATATCATTCGGAGTAAGGCGAATTGCGTGTGAATCGACGTGTACCAAAGTCAGCTGTCGCTCTAAAAGAAACAAATATATACCCGGTCCTGTATACTTCCATAATTTACGCCAAGAGAAACCTTTTTCGACTTCTCCGGTCTCAATTTCGTCCACAATAAGTTTATCACCCAGGTTCATTAAGCTATTTGTCTGTTCTCGCAAGTCATAGTCCGTAGTTGTTCGTGCATCTTGTAAACTATCCCTTTGTGGAAATAATGGTTGGATTTCGTTCATTATAATGCGTTGTTCAAAATTGTAAAAGTGTTTGAAACGAGACTTTTTTCAATTATTAATGTATTCGTCGTTGTTATTGCTGCTACTGTTTGCTATTATTATTACTATTATTGTTATTGTTCTAAATTATCTATTATTATTTTAATATGTAATGTCGAGTTCTTGGAGAAAGAGAAACTTTTCCCACTTGACTCATGCTTTAAGTATGGTTTTTAAAACGGGTAGAAATTTGTTCACTGATTTATGAATGATCAACTATTTTCACACTCTTTTCAGTCCTGACACCCGAGTTTTCCCAGTACCCATATCAGGAAATGCTCGGTGAATTACACGAAAAACTAAAACGGAAACTTTGCTGCCGATGATGATTAGCTTCGTGATAAATGAAATTTTTCTACAGGTTATCAATACTTGGATTGTGTCAATAGTAACGTTCTCTTTGATTCTGCGATTAAAATAGATTAAATATGAAAGTTAAATAGTAAAAAAAATTTTCTTTTTAGGAATATTTAATGAGAATGACGGAATTTCGAAATATAATTTTCTCATATAAATTGAACACAAAGTAAGATTACACAAAAACTTTTGCAAAAAAGGATAATCAGATTTGTTAAAATTGGAAAAAAGTGAATCAGATATTAATTAAATTATAAATATTTGAATCTGATAAAAATAAATATGACGAGAAAAATCAGATAATTCTTCCCATTATTATATTATTCTTTAATCACGTGCTTTTATATGTGGAAATCGAATCACGTTCTCGAAAATGTGACATACATTCTTCTCAAAATAAACGTTTCATTACACATTAATCTTGCGTTTTGATTGGTTTATCCCTTAAAAAGTCACATGCCATGCACTTTTTTGTCGTCTATTTGCATTTTTTGAGAGATTATTGAAAAGTTATTTTGGAGACTTCACCGTTCTACTTAATGATTTGATCACGAATTGTGTGAATGTGCTTTCTTTTCAAACGATTAATAACATTCAAGGATATCTTAATTCGTGCTTCCAGTTCGTTTTTCAGCCTTACATACATATAAGTAAAACTGCCTTGTGTTTCAGGTTGCTATTCACTACTCACTACTTAATGCGAAACGTGGTGATGACAACTCCTCGATAATTTTTTTCAGCATCAATGATTCGTCTTTTTAGTTTAGGCTTTAATATAGTGAATCAATAACAAAGCTCTCAAAATTCTAAATGAAAATAGTCACGTTTCATTTTTGTATAGATTGAATGAACATAATTTGTCATATCGATCACTTTTACCAAGAACGCAAAAACTATAGTACTTTATTATTGATACTGCATACATACTTATTTTTGGTAATTAAATCATCATTGACTCAAAATAGAAAAACATCTAAAGAATAATATGAGCCAAGTTATTAACGTGTTCCTTTTTATTGTATCAATTAATCAATTATCCACACAGAAAATTCATATAAAATTCACTTTAGTGTGATACATGATCACAACATTAACCGGATGATTTTTCTTTATCACTACCACTCGGGCATTGATGTGTCCAGTGTTTCATCATTACCTCGTCTGGAAGTTCACATTCAATAATTTAACCTCTTCCTCTCCAAAGTCTAATGCTGACTTGGCCTTAATCTTAATTTTTGTGGAAAGTAGCTTAGGGAAAGAAAAGATTGCTGATCGAGGAAACTTCACATGACGAAATTGCGAGAACATTATAAAAATCGAAGCCAAGCTACTAACTACTTGCTACGTTACGATTACTAATGCAAAGTGTCTTTCATGTGACTTTTGAAAAATAGCTTGTATTAGAGATGTGAAAAATTTATTTCAACCTGAAAAAAAAAGTTTCCCCTTAATTCATTGTTCCTTTTATTGTCATTCAATGCAATTTTGACACAAGACTTTTTCGTAATGTTGACTGTTGGTGCACATTCAAGCAAGAAACTCGTAATAAGGTAATAATGTAATTATACGACTGCATTGGCTGTTTCACGAATTGACTAAGATATTTTATAACGACGACGATGAATTGACTAGTAGAACGGAGATAAAGATATCGACAATGAAACGAATTAATAAAGCGTATAAATTATTCCTTTTGAAAGATTTACAACTTTGAATATCTTGCAAAAGGAGGTTTTGAAATTATTTATAAAGTAACCTGTTGGATGGACCATTAACTATTTATTAAGATAAATGGAAACGAGAGGAAGAATTTGTAGTTGTGTCGAAATCATTACATAATTCAAAGCAAATTGCTCCACGTATAACCGAATTAATATTCGGTTCAAAAGTCAATAAAACCGTTTAGTAAAATATAACCTCTGGTTAAAAGTTTCGCAAGGAAAAGCATAATTTTGAGATACGAAGCTTCGTATCTCAAGATTATGCTTTTCCTTGCGAAACTTTTATAATGCCCAAAAAAATTGTCTGTCACGTGATTTACCGACCGATATCCAGACCTCAGTTGGGTCGCCATTCCAAACGATATCGAGTAATAACCTTTACAACTATGTATTATTTAATATTTTTATATTTTTCTTTTTTTTCATGAAACAACACAATCAAAATGCGAGTATTTTCCTTCTTGTTGG